AAATTGTGTCGCGAAACCCTAAGATGGCACGGGGATTATTTGAACCCTTATCGGTGTTTGGTTTTGGAATAAGGGTGGATGTGCGGGTGGCACGCAGGGAAGTTACGTACCCCTGGCAGACCGTTTCCTTGGGGCAGACCACGGACATCACGGCTTGGATATATAACTCCGGGCGTGGGCATTTTTGGTAGTTCTTGAATATTTGACCAAGGGGGGTTTCCAAATTAACTGTGGCCATGACTTAGTGGTTGGTATGTTAAACCTCTTTGGTGAGGTTTCAAGGGTCACCTAATTTATTAAAATTATTTGAATTATTTTAATAGTTGTAATTTATGTTTACGATTATATTATTATCTCGTGTTTATAATCTCATTATTTTCCCTCAAAAAGAATGGTAGGTTGGTTATGTTTTCTTATTGTGTTGCAAAACTCATGGCATATATTTTGTTGCCCTGGCGTTTCATGCCAAATTATGTCGAAGAAGGGACTGAAGCTGAATTTGGAGCTGCTGCTAATATCGAACCTTGGCTAACTTAGAGTCAAGATTTTATCCAAATAAAATTCTATTATCTCTTGTATTAGTTTTTAACAATGTTTTGACGTTATATGTGAACTTGTAATTTTATTTTGTTGTTGGACTTTGACTATGTAAGGGTTTAAAATTCCCTAATTAGTAGTTAAAATTTTATCTAGCAAGTTATTGTTATTTAAATTTTATGATGTTCCAAGAAAAAAAATTTGGGACGTCACAAAGTTGAACTAAGATTTTTAGTTAAGTTGAGGTGATTTAGTATTGCGCTCCTAGTTTTACTAGTTAAGTAATGTTATAATAATAATTTCGTACTTCAAAATTTTTATGAGATATTTGAATGGTTTTGGTGATCTTTGACAAGAAAAGAAAATAATGTGATTTTAGCTCGTTTGGCGCAAATAGATGAATTGGTTAAAATGAGAATGAGTTATCAAAACTTTTAATTATTTATTTATTTTCCTTGGTTTAAATCAATGGGGTTGATGTTGATAATTGGAAAGTGAACACCGTGTTATATTTTATAATTATAGTAAAGAGAAGATTTTGATAAAATTGATTAAGTGTTGGAATATCCACTTATGCTTATGAGAATTATGATTGAACTTGAAGGTTCCAAGATTTTACTTGCATGAGAAAAATGAAAATTTGATTCTATTTAATATTTGGGAAGGGGAGGAGTTTTTTTGAAAAGATTGTAATTACATTTCATTGATAATGTATGTGAGTTAGAAATTGATGAAACCTTGAACTCGTTTTGGTGTCAGATATTATTGCTATTGATGAACTTATTGTTTAAAAGTTTTGGTCTTGGTAACCAGTAGAAGATTACCATGTTGGTATTTAAATGAAGAGATCATTGGAAAAGTAAGAAAATGTTTGATTTTGAAAGTTTGTTTTATATGAAGAATATTGTTGAATTGTCTTGAAAAGACTAAGTTAGAATTTGTTGATTTATATGTGGTACGTACATGAACATTGACATTATTGTATTATCTCTTGGAATTGTATCATGATATTACATTGATAAAAATATGGGATTTGATCACAATGGAAAATTGTGTGGTGGAATTGAAATTGAAAATATCTTAATGCATTGTTACATATTGTATTGCCATTCCATTTCATTGTTATCATGGATTTTGAATTGTAATTGAAAACTATTGTTTTAAGAAAGCAATTGTTTTTGGGAAACAAGATCATTTGGATTTGTTTTGGGTAAATACGTTGGTAAGTCCGGATATGGGGTGTAGTTTGATGTTGGTTTAAGTTGGCCTGAGTTTCCATGGTGAAAGACCGAAAACACGCGCGGAGGAGGTACCACTGCCCTTCCGGTGAGAGACCGGTAAAGTGGGGATTTGGTAGTACTTGATATGCCTACTTGCAGACACCAACCTAAGGATTACCAGAGTCGTATTTACCACCTTGGAATTTTATTGAAATTGTTGGATTAATGTGTTTTCAAATTGGTAGATTTTCAAAAGATGAGAAAATATTTTGAGCATGACATAGCATATGCATTCATCTCATAAGACTGTATAAAATGTATTTAATGCTTTGTTAGATGTCATTATGAATTGTTTAATTATTTGATTCAATTGACAAATGGGTAATTGAATGAATTGAAAAGGATGTCATGTTGCATTTGAGGCATGCTTGTTTATTTAAGTTAACTAGTTGTGGTTAATTAAATAAATTGGATTTAAGAGTTTATGTAATAGAATCACATGGTTTTGACATGATATGATTTCACATAGATGTATGAGTATCTTTGTACCCGCATATCTTCTAATGTTTTAATATGAGATTGTTTGGTGAGCTAGTGGTTGCTCACCCCCTGCCTGTATATGTGTACAGGGAATACTTTTCGGATTTGAAGATCAAACAATGGATTTTACCATTTCATAAGTGTAATGTAGTGATGGATTATACTACTTCATTTGTTTGTTTGGCTGAGTGCTATTTTTTCTAAAGAGTAGTGACCTCTCTTTTATTGTAAGCCTTAGGGCATTCCTTTTATTCGTATGTAAAGGTCTTTATTGTATCATGAGAGGGAACATGTATATTTAATTATTTATCATTTCATCAAAGAATGAATTGTCATTTGTAAATGAACTTAATTAATGAATATTGGTAATGTTACCCGAGTAATAAAATTTGGGGCATAACAACTTATTTCTCTTCAGTTTATAAATTGAGTTACCACAAAAGTCAGTTCCCCATATTGCTCCATTTTATGTCCAAATACAAAGTCCCTTGGATATTCAAATCGCAATACAATATTTCCGACAACATACTCATTCGACAGCATTTTGTCAAATGGTGGGATGCATTCAAAACCCATCGAATTCTTGATCAAGTGTAACAAGAATTTCCAGTCAATATTTATGCACCTACTCTAACAATGATCAAGTCTCTCAGCAAAACCCAACTACTTCAGTCACTCAAGGAAGCCTACTTCCTCTCACCATAGTTAGACTTGGAAGCCCAGCAGCAAGTTCTGAGCCTTCCAAATCCAAGTCATCCAAGTCCAAGCCCAAAGCAAAGCCCAAGTCAACAACCTGGCTCTGAAATATCATTATTTCTGTTTATATATATATATATATATTTGTATATTTTGGTGATTTGGCAGCGTGTAATACCTAATCTAGAGACACTAAACCAATGTTCTGAAACCTGGACGTTGGTCAAACCAAGAAAGTGACCGGCTCACAGGTCACTGGTTTAAACGTCGGATGAACCAAAATTGAACCGTAATAAATATATTAATAATTATTTTTAAATTAAAAAATAAAAATCAAGATACATTCATTCAAAATATTTTTGTATTTAAGATGTATGTAATTTATATAAATATATTTACCAAATATATATTTATAGATTTATTTTTATATTAATATTATTTATAAAAATATTAATTATAATAGTATTTGAGAGAACTTGTTGAATACAATAAATAATATACATTCTCTATTTATATCAAAGGAATTATGTTGGTCTAGTGGAAATGCACAGCCTCCTCACGCATGAAGTGTGTTCGATTTTTTCAATTGAAACGGGTTTAAAGGTGTACGTGGACCAATTGACAGGTCAATTGGTTGAACCGGTTGGTCCAGACTGGTTTTAATAGCATTGCACTAAACACACCATATCTGGCTACTAATTATTGTTACCAGCAGTATAGATAGAAATGTTACGTGTAGTCCAAGAATGTGTAAACATGATTGATTTAAAACAAAATATCTACATTATTAATATAAAACCCTTGCTATGCGCGAACAAGTGCACTATATATCTCATTAAAAGATCGAATCACTGTCGGCCCTGGGCTAAGACTACTAAGGCCTATGCCTAGGGCCTTCAAATTTTGGCTCAAAATAAGACTCCAAATTTATTAGTTTCATATTATATTAAAAGTTCAAAACCTAATCTTTTTTATTGTTTGAGACCTAGTCTAAAAGGCCCCTCAAAAAAATATGTTGGGCCAAATTAAAAATATATATATCATCATAGTTAGGCCTAATTAAAAGTTTATATAATTAGTCCAAATAAATATATATATATATATATATATGATATAATGAGTCCAAATAGAGTCTAATGTCAAGATTTTAATAAAATAAATAGTTTTTTCTTTTTTCCCCTCTTTATTATAATTGAATAATTTTACCCTAATTTATTTTCCTTAATTTTGTTTGCCCTCTCCGTATCATAATTTAATTGAATAATTGTCTTAATTTTTTCTCAATTTTGTCCCCAGTAATTTGTATTTTGTTTATCAAATAATTAATGGATTGTGATTTGCATGGATAATAATTGTATTATCATATATCATATTACAATAACATAATCACTTCGTTATCAAATATCAGCAAATTATGTTGCTTGTATCGATTATTACTAAATTATAAAACAAAATCCTATTTTATCTTTTTTGAGTCTTTGTAATGATTTTTTCGTATCTTAATGTATGAAAATAAATTTTAATGATTATGTGTACAGAAACTTTTTGTAGTAACTAAATAATAAAAAAACTTATTGGTAACTCATTATTTTATCCATAATTTTTTTTTTATAAAAAAATATATATAGGAGGGCCCCACTTTCAAAGTCTGCCTAAGGCCCGATAAATCTCAGGACCCCCCTAGATCAAATTAATTGTTGCTTAAATCGTGTTTTGCTGCTGCACCTCCCTTTTTTTTCCTGCTAGAATAACAACTTTATTGGACTATAAGAGAAACCGTATAGAGTTGATATTTGGACATATGGACCAATCTAAAATCCATAACCCAAACACACATGATACAGAGAGCATAATAACCTAGGACATAAAAGCAACACAACGAAAAACATGAGACTAGAGCAGAGCGACAAAAGGACCAAACTTCAGCAAAGATCACTACATCCAACTTAACAAAAGCAAGAGCAGGAACACCATCAGGAGCACTATAAAGCACAACGAAACACAACAGAAGCAGAAACACAGCATAAGAACATCAGCAAGTATAGCATTGAGAAATTGGATAACAACCCAACCAGGAGGGGGAAATAGAAGATCTCACAAGATAAAAATCAACCATCTTTTGTAACTATCAATATGCATAGTTAAGCTTTAGTTTGTAGGCACCAACAATCCTAAACTCACAAGAAACAAAAGCTTATAAATCCATCAGTAAACATAGTGCGGTCCCTTTCACCCAAATATTGCTGCATTAAACCTTCCCTAAACATATTGCTCTCATGACATCTTCCATAACCTGCAAATAAGCACAAGAGAGTGTCAATTACATGCACAGACTGAATTTTACTATAATTACATCTCATCTATAAAGGCTGCTACAGTTATAAGATCTTCCAGCCTTTCAATTTCATATATTATCCATCTTTTACGCAATTCCAATTTTATTTAAGCTCTCTAATATTTTAACTAAATGCAGTCATTGATTTACATATCGTTGCATATTATCCAATCTAAATTTATTCCCATCATGTGCTCAAATCAATAAAGGACACATTCTTATTTGACATTTGTCAAGCAAATCACATCAAAACCATTCCTATCAGCAACTTATCATCAAACACAAGAACCCAACCGCAAGAATGAAGATGCTTGTTTCTTAATCCCTTTCAATACAGCTTAATTTGGTTGCTAATTTTTATTATCAAGAACAGGTAGAAACCATATAAACAACAGAATAATTGAATTCTCTTTTGTATCCATATAGCACATTTCATGGAGACAAAGGACAAGAAAACACAGTCATAATCTCCAAGTGTGTCTAACCTTTGAATTCATGTAATCTCCAAATTCTAGGACAAGAAAACACAGTTATATATTCAAAACTTCACAAATATTCCTCAATTATTTCCTACTGCAAAATGGTGTTCCGAACTTAAAAAGCATAGACACTTCTAAGAAGGTGGGGCATGTCATGTCAGACGCCGAACCTACACAACCCGACAATCATCAAGAATATTTTAGGCAACAAATTTGAATTTCTCGATATGCTGGGTGAGGTGTATCTAATCGGACATGTTCGACACGTACAATTACACAGGTATGGAGTGTTTGCCATGGTTACATAATAGATACGTAATACAATAATGTAATTTGATTTTTGCATGCATCAGTCAAAGAATCTGATTTTTGCATAAACAAGGGTAAATTATACTAACCACCCTTAAAGTTTAGAGAACATACATTGGGGTAATTCTATCTATTTACACCACAAAACTAACTCCTTGCACCCTCAAAAAGTTTCATTTTATTTTTTTACAATTTCTATAATTCCATTCTGTAAATAAATTGATGTATCCACTCTTCCCAAACCTTTCAAACCCTAGTTTCTTCACTTCCAACTGACACGATTGCTACCGCCGTCTACAACCGCCGCCACAACAAAGACCCTAAAAGCTCTCACTATGGCCGCAATCGTCGCCGCAATCATCACCAGCAACAACCTCCACAGCCTCGCTGCGGCCATGACCACCTCTTCTGCAACCCCCCAACCGGCAACCCAACCTAACCGCCATTGCAATCCCGTCTCCCATCTCCACCGTCGCAACCCAGTTTTGCCCCTCGTTGATCAGAATTTTGTCCACCCCGGAAAACCTGCCCAACCTAGTCCAACCCTCCCACCTACGGTTGATTTCAAACATTGATTCAATCGGGAGCGGGTATAAGAATAACAAAAGTTAAGATTCTCGATCGACTGTTGGGCCAAAAGTAATTTTATTCATTGAAACCGTCCGACCGAATTTTATTAATAAGAACATTATAGATGCCATAGGTAGATGCACTGTTCTTTTTTTATCATTATTATTTTTTATTCTTTTCATATAGGACTTTGTGTTTCCTTGGTGAAAGAGCTAGTTTACTTTTATTCAATTTTTTATGGAACTAAAGAACTATTATTTAATTTTGTATGGAACTTGTGTTTGTTGGTAAGAGAGCTAGTTCTTCTTAGTCAGAAAGCTAGCTACCCAGTCCTTGCATTTCAATTTTATTTTATATTTTTTTTTCCCTATTCTCACTTTTATTTAATTTTGTATAGGATTTATGTTTTCTTGACAAGAGAGCTAGTTCTTCTTAATTAGAGACTAGTCTTTTCATTTTGTAATTATTTTTGTATATTGTTCTCTCTCTCCTTACTCTGACCTCATTTGTGAGATGCAAGTATATCCTCTCATCTCTTTCATTTTATTTTCTTCTCTTTATCAATCTTCATTGAATACATTTTTATCACTACTTCGCCGCTACTATGAGATTCATGTCATCGTTGTTGCAAGATTGCTTCGTTGTTTCCATAGTCCTCTTTCTTCATAGTATTTCCTCTCACCCTTTCTCTTCCTCTTCACCTTCCCTCAACTCTCAGATCTCCAAACCCCCATACCTCTCTGAAATCATCTTTGAGTCTATCTATGGACCCATACCATTCTCAGATCTTTTTTGAATCTATGGACAAGGGTTATTTGTAACACCACCAACCATATTTAACCAATCAACCCTCAGTCTCTCTCTCTCTCTCTCTCTCTCTCTCATGCCTGTGTTTTTTGTATGTGCACCGACCGATTCTGACTATGAAAACCGTGACCTGATACTTTGTGATTTCGAATTGTAACGCCCTGAAGAATTGCCTCCTAATTCCCTTGATACCTTAATACAATCAACAACAATACATGCATATAGATTACAAATATTAACAACAATACAATCCACTAACTCCTCTTACCAATTTAACTATCTAAAAAATACATCATAGTTAAATTACATTCATATACAAGATAAATTTTCAATTCCTCCATACAAATAGTCCATACAAGATAATCCAAGCCAAATCATAAAACATCAATAGAGAAGCATCCATGTCCTCATCCAACTTCATTTCATATATCTACAATAGGTTGAGGTCCGGCGGGCGGCCAAGGCGAGGTTGCCGCCCGCCGGTGAAGCGAAATTACTAGATTCTTAACCTGGCTCTGATACCATGTAAATAAATTGATGTATATTATTGATTGATGTATGTTGTTGATTTTTTTGAATGTATACAATCACTCTCCTATATATAGAAGAGAAAAACATACTCACCTACCACACTCAACTCTCACCTAACACACTTACATCTACCTACCACACTCAACTCTCACCTAACACACTCAACTCTACCTACCACACTTACACATTCCTATCCTCATCCCTACCATCCACTCTTCCCAAACCTTTCAAACCCTAGTTTCTTCACCTCCAACTGACACAATTGCTACCGCCGTCCACAACCGCCGCCACAACAAAGACCCTAAAAGCTCTCACTGTGACCGCAATCGTCGCCGCAATCATCACCAGCAACAACCTCCACAGCCTCGCTGCGGCCATGACCACCTCTTCTGCAACCCCCCAACCGGCAACCCAACCTAACCGCCATTGCAATCCCGTCACCCATCTCCACCGTCGCAACCCAGTTTTGCCCCTCGTTGATCAGAATTTTGTCCACCCCGGAAAACCTGCCCAACCCAGTCCAACCCTCCCACCTACAGTTGATTTCAAACATTGATTCAATCGGGAGCGGGTATAAGAATAACAAAAGTAAAGATTCTCGATCGACTGTTGGGCCAAAAGTAATTTTATTCATTGAAACCATCCGACCGAATTTTATTAATAAGAACATTATAGATGCCATAGGTAGATGCACTGTTCTTTTTTTATCATTATTATTTTTTATTCTTTTCATATAGGACTTTGTGTTTCCTTGGTGAAAGGGCAAGTTTACTTTTATTTAATTTTTTATGGAACTAAAGAACTATTATTTTATTTTGTATGGAACTTGTGTTTGTTGGTAAGAGAGCTAGTTCTTCTTAGTCAGAAAGCTAGCTACCCAGTCCTTTCATTTCAATTTTATTTTATATTTTTTTTCCCCTATTCTCACTTTTATTTAATTTTGTATAGGATTTATGTTTTCTTGACAAGAGAGCTAGTTCTTCTTAATTAGAGACTAGTCTTTTCATTTTTTAATTATTTTTGTATAATGTTCTCTCTCCTTACTCTGACCTCATTTGATTCATTTTCATCTTTCTAACCCTCTTTTGTGAGATGCAAGTATATCCTCTCATCTCTTTCATTTTATTTTCTTCTCTTTATCAATCTTCATTGAATACATTTTGATCACTGCTTCGCCGCTGCTACGAGATCTACGTCATCGTTGCTGCAAGATTGCTTCATTGTTTCCATATTCCTCTTTCTTTCTAGTTTTTCCTCTCACCCTCCCCTCCCTCCTCGGATCTCCCCCTCACCTCCCCTCACCTCTCAGATCTCCCAACCTCCCATACCCCTCTGAAATCTCCTTTGAGTCTATGGACCCATACCATTCTCAGAGCTCCTTTAAGTCTATGGACAAGGGTTATTCACAACACCACCAACCATTTAACCAATCAACCCTCTCTCTCTCTCTCTCTCATGTCTATGTTTTTTGTATGTGCACCGACCGATTTCGACTATGAAAACCGTGACCCAATACTTTGCGGTTTAGAACAATACTCAGTCAAAATCAGATGCCATTTCTTTCCACCTGAAGCGGTTGGCTCGGTTGACAGTTCAACAACAAACTCAAACTGACTCGACCCATGAACAGCCCTAGTTACCACCCATTGTAGCCGCCCATTTCTTCTTCTTCTTCTTCTCCTTCTCCTCTTTCTCTCATTCTCTTCATCCTCCTTCCATAAACCCCAGATCTAAAAACCCTAGATCTTTGGTTTTAGATCTAGGGTTTAGCAGCAACAGGGAGGAGGTCGAGGCGAGGGAAGGAGTCTGGGCTAGGGTTTGTGATGCAAAGAACAAAAAGAAGGGAGTGGGGTGACAAAATTTGTAAAGGGTGGAGGTTGACGAGGTTACAGAGGGTGGCGGTAGGAGGGAAGCGACAAAAAGGGGAAGCGAAGGGAAGAAAAGGGGAAGGAAAGGCATTTTGGCCATTTAAGTGTTCACATTTGATGATGTCACTATATTTTGTTGCCTTTTTAATGTCAATCCAACAGAAGGGGGAATCTTGGTATTAGTTTCAAAAGTAGGGGAGGTCAAAGTAATTTTTCAAACTACAGGGGAGATTCTTGCAATTATGCTAAATCTTAGGAGAGGTAACTGTAATTTACCCAAATAAAACAAAAGGGTGTAAATAGTTAGAAGTATCGTGTAAGTAGAATTACCCAATACATTGATCCTTGAAGTTTAGAAAAAATACATTGAGCCCCAAACAGTGTTGTGAAAGGC